AAATAAATAAATAAGTAAATAAAAATAAAATAAAAAAGGTCCTAAATAGAAACAAGACAGCATCAACTTCTGATATATTCAGTTTTCTCTTCTCTTGCCATATTATGTTCGGCTTTGGTATTTGTAAAGAATATGGTATTAAACTGTTCTTTCAGGTGAAAGTTCTGCTTAGATGTGGTTAGAAACTAAAGGAAGCGTTTTGGTTTCAAATACAGTAATTTTATGAATTTTTTTCTGAATAGATATTCTCTTTGTAATAACAAAAATCCAAAATCAAAGAAAGAGAAAATAACCCGCAAACCTTCCCCCGCTACGCTTTTCTTGGTAAATACATTTTTTTTCTTTACAAAAAAAAAAACCCAAAACACACCATAAACATTAGTAGGTAAGCTGCTTCTTTGTCCAATCTTATCCTGTAAGTATGTTGGGACTCTTTCCATCTCAGCAATAATAGTCTACATCGTCATATTTAATGGCTGCCTCGTATTATACGGTATGACTGTCATAATTTATACAACTACTCCCCAATTGACTGACATTCAGGCATTACCAGCTTTGCTTCCTATAAACAGTGGAAGAATCAAAGGGACAGTTTTTCTGAGGTACCTGTACACCAAGCCTTGATAATAACTGAGTTTATATGTGTTGATTTTCAACGGGGGATCCTTTTATATTAATAATCCACTAATGAGGGTCATCAATTAGCGTTGGCATGAGCTCTATGAAAATACATAGCATAATGTGGGCCCCAGCCGTGCATTCCATCAGAATTAGGCGGATCATTAGGGGAGCTGTCAAATGCCCCTCCTCACTGTCCTATTGTGTCACTAGGTAAGTCTACAGATTTAGAGAGAAGGCTTTCCCCAGTTCCTCTAAAGGATGCCTTTTCCTTCTTTCTGTTTTGGGGTTTTCCTTTCATAAACATCACAAACACAGACACTCCCTCTTTTCCCACTATTGAATCTGGACTTTCAAAGACATTAGTGCCAGGTCCTCTGGGTCCTGCTTTCCTGCCCCCGTCCCAGACCCCTGCTGGAAGACAAGTCTTCAGAAATTCATTCTTAGCTTTGCTCTTGAAGACATCCAGTAGGTTGCAAAGGCCCCCTTGTCCCTTCCCCACATCCTGCAATCATAGGCACAGACCATTCTCTCAGTCTTCAGTAGCCTCTGTGACAAGTTGTGTTCTTGTAAAACACACAAGGAGAGAGGAATCAGGTGAACCACAGAGACGTCAGACTTAAAAGGTATGTAAATGAATATTAATAGTTCTGCTGTGTTCAGCGGGGTCTGGTACAAAGTCAAATTGGGTTCATGTCCAGTGGATTTTAGGTGGGACCCTGCTATTTTGTTGGGAGTAACCAAAATAGATGGCTGCCTTGTAATAAGCATAGGTGTCGACGTGCAGACTTACAATGATTAATGCCGTTTCGTTCATTTTCATGTCTCATTAGGAAAACTTAGCAAGACTCCAGAGGGCCTTTGCAAGGAAGTGGGAATTCATCTTCATGCAAGCAGAAGCACAAGTGAAGTAGGTGAACTTCAAAGAGACCTTTGCGTGATTCCAGCCACCTGCTGTCCACCTGCAGCAGGAGGAGCCCAGGCTCCTGAGGGAGGAAAAAGCAAGAGGGCGAGTGAGTGGGTGAGAAGGAGGCAGAACTGAGCCTGGGGACTCAGAAGCCACAGGAAGAATAGAGGAGTGCGAATTCGTGCTTTTAGAATCACAGAGTATCACATGTTATAAAAGGAGGGGAGAGTGTCACTTTGTACATATATGGTATGTCTTGATTAACTTTTTTGATTAACTCTGTGATTACATTATAATTGTGGGCCATTTAAGTACACAGTAATTATCACAAAAATCACAGGGTGATTATGGGTTTATTTCAGTCCAGTAAACTAAAATGCTCCCGAGGGAACCAAGAACCAGAAGTTCCACGGCAATTAATCTGAGTTACTTTTTACTTAGAGGGATAATATGAAGTAATACAGCCTTTTTTACTTTAAAGCCTCTTATCTGTGCTCCTGATCAGCACATAAAGAGCCTGTCTTTGTCACCTGTAATTTTCCCTCTTCCAACATGTGCCTCCCCCAGCTGAGGCCAGTGACACATGCCTTCTGAATCTTGTCACACGCTAGGACTATTACTCCGCTTTTAGAAAGCCAGATGGCTTAAGTGACTCTTAAAACATGTAATTGCAGCTTTTTGAAGACATTTCTACTGACTGAATCTAAACAAACTTTCAACTTTGGGAATGAAACACTGCAAGCCTATGGTTATATTCCTTTCTATAACTTGAGTACAGTGTCCACTTTGATGGGGGCAGGTCAATGGATGATTCAATTCTTAGCAATCCAACACGATGCGAATGGACAGTTGTGTTCTTGTGCTGTCCTTAGGCCCACCCACCATGCTCATCACACATCCATGGCAATTTGCAGTCTAGCCTAAAATGAGTTCTCTCATCATGTATGGGCTTCTTGAGGTCTCCTTGAGGGAACTGTCCATGCATATTTTACAGCGCTGCACCGAACATGGGCCACACACATGCCAATCGCCGTGTGCACGCTAAGCTCTGAGAAACAGGAGCCGAAAGCTGAGGGCAAGGGTCAGAAGGAAAAACAATACAAAAGCCTCTGATTTCCTTCCTTTACTGTTTCAGGATTGATCGGAAAAAGGACAAGACAGAAAGAAAAATTTTGGATAGCCAAGAGCGGGCCTTTTGGGATGTCCACAGACCAGTGGTGAGAAAGCTCTGCTTGGTTCTCTAGGGGTTTTTTCCCCACTTCCTTTGCTTGAAAGAAATGACTATCTGTAGCCACCAGATGTCTCATTCTTAAGAAAACTGCTAAGCTTTGTGAAACGGTTTTGCCATTCATTCATATAACCTCAATAGATTTCCTGGAATGTACGTCAGTTCTACCTTTTATAAATTATCCATCCATGAAAATATGGCATTGGAAATGGGAGAACTGCGGGAATTTCACCTGAGGACCTTTGGGCCCCAGAAGTTTACAGTCCCAAAATGAGCAATTTCCACTTCTACTGTCATTAATCTCTAAATCTTGGAATATTCTCTTTCAAACACAGCTGATCCTTGTTATTCATGTTCCATAACGTCACTGCAAACAATGAACCAGCAAATGCCAAACCATTGCTGCACCGGTGCATTGAATCGTTTCATCAACTGATCAATACCTAACGGTGTTTAATGCATGTTTCTGTTTAAGACACCTTAATATATATTGTTGAGTCATTAACATTGAACTCACAGCCAATGGCACGATAGCTCATATTGGAATGAAGCATATCTAACACATGTATTTTCTCCATAAGGCATATCACAGCCTTCTGGCACTTAGGAACACTGGACAGCACTGTGCTTGGAGGCCATTTTAAGCAGCAAAATCACCAACAAAAAGCACAGAAATGTGCAAAACGTGGCAATAAATAAACCTTGAAAAGAATACTTGTTTACAGTATGAAAGTTGAAGCAAGAAGGCAGAGAGAGCGTCACCTTATTCGACCTCAGCTGGGAACATGCACATCAGGCAGCTCAAAATTTCTGCAGCTCTGCACATGTCTGTGGATGACCATGAATGCACCACAGTATTGATTTGGTTATAAATAAATTCTAGCAAGTAGGCAAACGCACAAATACAAAATCTGCAAATAATGAGGTTTGACTCTATTTCTAATTTCATATTGTTAAAACAAATCTTGCGTATCCCTTATGAAATGGAACTAAAATGAATAAACTGTTTCAGCCTTCCTAAAAACTGATTAAAAGCAAAACCAAAGATATAATTCCTCATCCTGACTTGGGAGTGTTTTTAAGATGGTTAGAAATGTGAAATAGCAAAGACCGTGACTGATGCGACCTTGCAACTTTGAATGATAAGTTTGCGCTTATCAACTGTACACGATATGCTCTACGTATCATCCTTAGAAAGTATGAGGTACGCTTTTGTATTTCATGAGGACTCTATATAGGAACACGTAGTGAAGATGAAACATCTTTGTAAAAAACAATTGTAAATAGCAAACTGGAGATAATCACACATTGTCTGTAATGGGAAAGATAAAGATTGGTTCTGATTGGTGTCACTTGGGCGAAATTGGAAGGATGATTTTCACTTAGTAATTTATGTGATGATTTTTTTTTCTCAGCCAGGCTGTGTGAATACCACAGAAATGGATATCAGAAAATGTCGACGTTTGAAGAACCCACAAAAGGTTAAAAAGGTTCGCTAGTTTCGCTGAATTAAAAATTCTTGATGTGAATGGCCCTTTCATTTCTGGTACTGTTCAAACAATGATTGGCTATTTGTTAATTCTACCCCATTTCATCCTTTGAAACCATTTTATTCATTTATTCTACAAATATTTGTGGAGTGGCTGATGTGTGCTTGGCACTCTTCTTTTTGCTGAAATACAGTCCTCACTATGCCCACAGCCTGGCAGTGATGAAACAAGCCACCAGGCAACAGTGCCAGGAGGGCTGCATTAGGGAAGTACAGGATGGCTCAGGAGTGCCAGGAGGGGGCGCCAGACTGGGGTTTTCCCGGGGCTTCCAAAGCAGGCTCAAGGGTAATGTCTGCAGAGTAAACAAACGGCAGCTGGATCTGGGGAGGAGGCAGGGAGGAAAGGAAACCAAAGGAACGAAAAGTAGCAAATCTCACAGGTGAAGGTGAGCATGGTACTTTGAAAGTCTTTTAGTTAGTTAGGTCATCCAAACTCAACTCACCATCTTGACCAACTGTGAATGAGCCAATGATTACTTGTGTTTCCCTGTACTGAAGGAGCAATGACTGTGGCCTATCCATGGGTGCCACGCTCAGTGTGCCCCACAGTCGGTCCATCCCACCCTCACAACGGCACCAAGGACCACGTTGTGGGAGAACATGTCTGTCCTCTGTACTATTAACATCAAATGGTTAGAGATGTGTGCCCAGATGACCAATCCTCTCATTTTGTCATATATACGACATGACATATATATCAACTTCTTGAATCTACTTACATATTTTTTCATATTTTATTCTTCACTGAGATAATGTTGCCCATTGTATTATATTTTATAATGTTAACCTTAAAATGTCCTCATTTAATCTTTAAGGGCCCCCTAATTATATTAGAATTGTATTCCAGAATTTCATGGAGCCCTCATCCACCCTATCTGAGCCCTTCTTAATTTATAGATTTCAGCTACATATTGTATACCCTTTGGGGTTTTGTTTCTTTCCCAAAGCAAAGACTGTCTTTAGCTTGTCTCTAACACAAAGAACAGCTTAAAAGGTAGCCATAGCTGTGAGCATGTAGAGAAACTGAGGCCAGAAAACTATTTAGCTTAAAAGCAAATAAGTCTGAAACCCTATCATCTTGACTTTTTACCAGATGGGCATGCCATCTGCTGGCCAACAGAAAATCTAGAGAGGATCTTTGTGCATAATCTTCAGCAATTGTTCTTGAACTTATTTTGTGGTTCAGAATCGCCTGAGCATTGGACAGAAGTGCAGATTCCCAAGCCCCACCCACAGAGGTTCTGATTCGGTAGGTCCCAGATAGGGCTCAGCCATGTGCATCATGACCAAGTACCCCTAGATGATTCTTTACAGATGGCCTATGGACCATGTTTGGAGAATCACTGATGTACAAGAAGACCATTTCAGGTCAGTAAAAGGAAGGGTTTTCTAACAGTGGTAACCCACCGATGGGACAGGCTTGCTCAAGAGACAGAGTTCCCAACATTGGAGAAATTCAAGTAGAGGCCAATCATTTATTGTAGGGCTGTCACTGAGGGGGTTGGAAGTATCAGATAAGTGGTTGAACTAGCTGACCACTAAGGCCCCTTCAACTCTGAGGGTGCGTGATTCTGTCTTCTTGCTTCTTCTCTAGTCAGTGTATGGTGTGACAGAAGAGTCCCAGTCGCAAAGCCCTGTGCACATACCCAGCCAGCCTATCAGGAAAACTACAAAAGAGGACATCCGGAAACAGGTGAATGAATTGACTACTGTGATCCCAAGAGGAGCCGTGGCCAGTGTGAAAACCCTTTGAATGTTCACCTCTGAAAGCTGAGTGAGCTTTGAGTTCCTGGAAACCATAGTGGCACCCAGCTGTAGGTGACTTGAACCTTTGAGTGCTGTGTGTGAACAACCCAAGGAAGCTCGAGGGGGAAAATTCTCTCCTGAGTCCCTCCAGGAGTTATGAGAAGAACGTGAATGAGTCATCCCAATGCTATGGGGTGACTGCTGTAGTCAGGCCTCCCACAGGAGCGCGAGCAGGGGGGGACTCCTGTTACAGGGGCCTGAACATTGTAATGCCCTTCCAGAGTAAGCCAGCTCAGGACCACCGACTTTATTGCTGTGATACAACAGGAAATTTAACGAATAAAGCAAGCCACACTCCCGATGCCATTTCAGCATTATTTGGCTCAATGTCATCTTCATGATGAGGAGTTCACTGGTCAACATAGGTCAGCAGACAATGGCTAATTACATTACTCCTTTCTGGGGTTCACTGATCATGAAGTAACTACTCCTGACTTTGCACTTTATTGGCTTCTTGGGGGTGGAAACCAAAGTAAATTGTTAGATGCCTGACCTTGACAAGTTTATTATTGGGTGGAGAAGAGGAAACAGATGTATGTAAAATAGCAATTTGATGATTCTAGTCAAGTATACCAAGCACAATGAGTGTGATGTAAGTGTGAAAGGTGGGCAGAAGATCACTGAAGATTAGGCAAACCAGATATTTATGGTGTGTGTATAACCTGTCCTGTTGCTGAGCTTTGTAGAATATATACTGCCGTTAAGTTTGCAATCACTTTTGGGAATCAAGACTTAAGCTATCACACAGTACAGAAGAATATGTGACATAGGCTAAATTGTAGAGTGTGAATCTTAGTGATGGTAGGAATTCTCAAAAGGGTAAAATGGTTGCTGGAACGCAGAGCTGGAGGGTTGAAGTCTGTCCAGAAGAAGTGACTGGACCATGGTGGGGATACAGGATTTGGATTCCTGGGGTGAAAAGAAAAAAGTCTAGTTTAGTCTTAATGCCTCTGTTCTATCTTTCCCCAGATAACATTTTTAAATGCACAGATTGACAGACATTGTTTAAAAATGTCGAAAGTGGCTGAAAGGTATGTTTCCCCTTAGTAAATCCCTTACTGCTGTCTTCTAATTTAACAAAGTAGAAATGTTGTGGGGTTGTGGCTAACAAGTGTGCGCCATGCCAAGAGGCAGACCGTAGGCATTCCTTCAACTGATGAGTGAAAAACACCACAGAACCCGTGTGAGTACAACTAAGATAGCAGGCCTCTCCTGAGTGATGTCAAGAAATGTTCCGTTGCTAACGCTTTTCAAGGGGTGGCCATGGGACCTTGACAATCGAGTCAAATGTCCTTAAAAGCTACATAATGCACTTTTGCCTCCAGCCTCTTGATTAATTCAAATGAAATTGCTCCCCTTTCAGCTATAAACCACCTAGATTCACTTTATAGGGAGAAGGAAATTGCATGCCCTCTGAGGTGCTAGCTGCACAAACAGGAGGGGACTGGACCATCAGGAGGCGTTCCGCCTCCACACACCATCAACCACTGAACTGCATCGAATCAGCTATAAAGAAAATATTTGGCACCCCCAGCCTGGCTTCCACAGGAGCATTTGTGCTACAGTCTGCACCGGTGGCTGGTTCCACTCTGTTAACTCGTGGGAGACTCAATTTTGTCAACTAAATGGTCTGTGTTTGAACTCTCAGTGAAGAGGGGAGGCCACCTGGGGGATCTGTATGGAATAAATCTGATCAGGCAGCTCCAAACCAAACGTTTGTTCATCCATATGCTACTGCTAAAGCTGTGACCAATATCTGAAGGTTCAAGGGCTTCAGTTGGGTCTTAGTATTTATTGAATATCAGAGTAAAGTGAATCTTGAAGCCCAGCACACACAGGGGGGCTGGCTGTGTTTTCAGCCGGTAAGCCTTTCTCTGCTGGCCCCCTCGTTCTAGATAAATAACAAATTGAGGCTAAGAAAACCTTACTCCGAAACCCCAAACCTGAATTAAGGCTCTACCACCTGTTCAGGTGGCCAAGGACATCCCTGGTTCAGGGCTAATGTCTTGGAATGCATCTCATATCTATTCCAGGGTTTCTCTGTAGTGTAACTACTGATATTCTAGATGGAATACTTCTTTACTGCAGGAGGCTGTCCTGTGCATTATTGGATGTTTGGCAGCATTCCTGGCCTCTCTTTACCTATGTTGACGAAAAACATCCAGCCTAAGAGAAAACTTATAAGAATTTATTTATTTATTTATTTATTTATTTATTTATTTATTAAAGATTTTTATTGGGGAATTGGGGGGATGGGAACAGTGCTGGGGAATTGGGGGAAGGGGAACAGACAAGTTGCTGTCCTTTTGTTCTTCAGTCTAGTTGTGGAGGACGTTGCTTCACTGGCCCAAGTTGGCACCATCATTGCGCTCTTACCGGGCGAGGCACATCAGTCGCCGGCTTCTGGACGGCCGCTCACTGCGGCTGCTGGCCACTCATGCTGGCTGCTGGTTACATACAGTAGCCCATGGCAACCCACTGCCACAGGGGCTGCAGCCTACACCGTTGCCGGCGACTCACGGCAGTCCAACTCCAGGTTGAGCTGTTGTTCAGCATCTTAGCTGTAGAGGGCAGTGTCACTGGCCCTCATATGTGGGATCCGAACCAGGGCCCTCTGACATCCCAAGCCAGTTCTTAACCATCGCGCCACTTGGCCGGCCCTATAAGAATTTATTTGAACCAAACTGTCGACAATTGCCGGGAAGCAAAATCTCAACGGATTGAGGAAATGCTCTGAAGAATGGCAGTTTTACAGCTTATTTTATACATAAAATCAAAGGAGGAAGGTTACATGAAATCCAGTGGTGATAGATTAAGGGGGTGGGAGAAAGCAAAGCAGGGAAATCTCTGGGATTGGATAAAAGTACATTGGAGAGACAGGTACTTTTGTTACATAGGTGGGTGCAGGGTAGCTAACCGTCAGCTTTTTACAGCACATAGAGATGGTAATCAGGAGACAAGCATAATAATGAGGAATTTTGCAGTTTCCAGCTCTGGTCCAGAAAAAGATTAAAGATGTTATCTTAGGTACAGAAAGACAACAGGCCCACTGAAAAGGCACAGACTAATTTAATGAGGAAGCTAAAGATGTGACTTCCTACCATGGCCCACTTTAAAAATTTGTGTGTGTGTGTGTGTTCACGCCATCTTAGTTTTAGTCTCCTAAGCTTGTCAGGTTTAACCTGTGGCCCCTTTTCCGTCCACACCTATTAGATGCCAAAAGTTCACCTCACAGTTGTGACAATGTGACATTCGGGGGGGGGGGGGCAAATCAATCCCACTGAGAATCACTGGTACTCCTCTTTTCCCTGATCTAAATGCTTCAGAAGGTGGCCATGGCTCAGCTGACACCTAGACACCGACTGCTCTGGAGTCAGTTTCCGCTAACTCTGCAGGCTGAAGCGCCACCTCACCCCACTGTCACAACATGGGGCTTCCGGAGCACCAAGCTCTAAAATTGCTTTTTTAATGGTTTTTTTTTAATCTTTATTAAACGTATTGGCTAGTAAAATTACATAGGTTTCAGGTGTACAATTCTGTAATACATCATCTATATATTGCATTGTGTGTTCACCACCCAGAGTCAGTTCTCTTTCCAACACCATATATTTGACCCCCTTTCCCCTCTTCTACCAGCCTCCCCCACTTACCCTCTGGTAACCACTAAACTCTTGTCTGTGTCTGTTAAGTTTTTGTCTGTTTGTCTTGTTCCTTTCTTGCTTTCAGTTTTATATCCCACATATGAGTGAAATCATATGGTTCTCAACTTTTTCTGTCTGACTTATTTCGCTTACCCTGCTAATCTCAAGATCCATCCACGTTGTCGCAAATGGCCGTATTTTATCTTTTCTTATGGCCAAGTAACATTCCATTGTATAGATGTACCATACCTTTGCTTTCGAAATCTCGCTGTGGTTGCCTTTGTCCCAAAACAGTGCCTGTGAGTGACATAGCTGGGATAACCCCGACATCATTGGTGTCATAGCCTGTGAGGAGCTACGAGCTTATTTCTCTGTGAAAAGGGGACAGGAATGGCTGTCCTCGTGCTCTGTAAGGGTCTAGTCTAGCAATGCCGGCCTTCGAAGGGCACTTCAGAGTTTGCAGTCTCAGGAGAGCATATGTGGGAGCACCTTTTCTTGGCGCTAGTTGCTCAGGCCCAGTGTTTTTGAGGGTGATGACCCAGGTGGGGGAGGGGCAAACGACTGGAGATTCCTAAACCGTCGCCCTGGGGATTCGGATTCAGTGGTTCCAGGTAGATCTGAGGAACTTGCACTTTGAATAATGTGCAAGTGGACTGACCGGGTCTCTGAGGATTTGCTGAAGCCACTGCCCACCACTCAGACGGACCTGAGCGCTCACATCAGAAGGGACACCCAGCTTCATCTTATCCTTAAGGTGTGAGGAAAGAGCCTGAACCAGCCAGTCGGCGTGAGGCAGGCCCACACCAGGCAGGTGTGCTGAGGCGGGAAGAGACAACTGAGGTGGGGGAGGGGAACCTGGCAGGGCCCCTTGTTTGTTTGTTTTCATGCTGTCAGGGAGGGGCCCCACCTGGTGCCTGTCTCATTATGCTTGGGGGGCTGCTCACACTGATGACACTTCTCCAGCCAGCCACTCCTCACGCCTCAGTTTCCAGCTTTCCTGTGTCTCCGCCCAGCAGAGACTGGATTTTATTCCCAGCAGCAATAACTGGCAACTTTTCAATGTGACACAAGGATTTTTCATTAGAGCCACAAGGAAACTCCCAGATAAAGAGGGGGAGGGAGTGGAGCCGGGTGTTAGCAGGAGATAAAGCAGCCTGGAGCCCTGGTCTGTCAGCGGCTCTGTGGGGGGTGGGGGACAGGGAGGTGGCCCTGGCAGCTGGCCTTGGGTGCTACTGCTCTGCTCTGCCGAGGTGAAAGCTGAGCTGTGTCAGGTGGGCACACACACCCCCATACTGGATTTGGTTTCCCGGCCTGCTCCAGGTGAGCAGTGGTAATTAGCCAGAAGCCATCAGCAAAAGACCTCCTCCCCCTGGGGACAGGTCCGCCCAGTTTTTCACTTAGTTCCCTGGGAACTGCTGGAGGGGTGGAAGGCCTGGTGATGTTGAAGGTGCAGCTCTGAAAAGACAAGAGTCAGATTTGGATCAAAGGCTGCAGCCAGGTCCACCCGATAAGGGAATAAGGAAACAATTTAGCGAGTGGGTGTGGAGCCAGCATTGGGGTTTGGCTCGTGCCTCTGCCATTTTTTTGTGTGACCTTGGGCAAGTTGCTTCATCTCTCTGTGCCTCTCTTCCACCTCATTCAAGGGGAGAGAGCAGTAGTACTTAACGTACAGGGTCAGTGAGTTAATCCAGGCATGAGCTTGGTCCAGTCCTTGGCACTTACTACACATGCAATGCGTGTGAACAATTATTATTCTTGTCCAGTGTGGTGCTTAATGGTGCTTTGGAAAGGAGCGGAATTCAAGTGCATGAGATGGAATGAACAGGGTGGATGGTGCTCTGCGGAACAAACAAAGGGCAGGCCAAGGGGTGAGGCTGGCCCTGCAGGTGGCAGCTTTGTGCTGACACAGTTCTTCCCTCCCTCTTTCTTCTCAAAAGTCCTGAGCAGAAAGCCCCGAGTGCTGCCTAAAGCTGGCCCTGCCCCCCACAACATGTGTGTCCCTCTTGACTGCCTCTATTACACCAATGATGTGGTGCTTAGGGGGAGGGAGGCTGGCTCTTCTGCATAGATTTTTCTCAGGTCATCCCAGTTTCAACTATTCTGTCCCACTATTTCCAAGAGTGGTTAAATGTTCCCAAAATGCCAACATCATGGCAACCAAACTACATTTACTAGGCTGCCTTTTATACCTGGAAATAGTACAAAAGCCCGTCTGAGATGTTACCCAATTTTGCTTCAGGAAGTACAGTCCCTGCACACACAAATGAATTCTCCAAATAAATAATGTTTAACACCTTAAGCTTTTTATTTTAACTATTTTCAGTGAGACTCTGTCTTAAATGTGGTTCATATTCGAGCTTGCCTTCTTAACGAAAGGACACACATTTCAG